CCTGCACCACCACGCGGGCCAGCGGCCCTCCAGTGGCAGCGCTTCAGCCTCTGGCTCCCCCAGCGATCCCGGCTTCATGTCCCTGGATGAGTACGGCTCCAGCCCTGGGGACCTGAGAGCCTTCTGCAGCCACAGGAGCAACACGCCTGAGTCCATTGCCGAGACACCCCCTGCCAAGGATGGGAGTGGGAGCGAGCTATACGGGTACATGACCATGGACAGGCCCCTGAGCCACTGTGGCCGCCCCTACCGTCGAGTCTCAGGAGATGGAGCCCAGGACTTGGACAGAGGGTTGAGGAAGAGGACTTACTCCCTGACCACACCTGCCCGGCAGCGGGCGGTGCCCCAGCCCTCCTCTGCGTCCCTGGATGAATACACCCTGATGCGGGCCACCTTTTCTGGCAGCTCTGGCCGCCTCTGCCCATCCTGCCCCACGTCTTCTCCCAGAGTGGCCTATAACCCTTATCCTGAGGACTATGGTGACATTGAGATTGGGTCCCATAGGAGCTCCAGCAGCAACCTGGGCACGGACGATGGTTACATGCCCATGACCCCTGGAGCGGCCCTCATGGGTGGTGGCAGTGGCAGCTGCAAGAGTGACGACTACATGCCCATGAGCCCCACCAGCGTATCTGCCCCGAAGCAGATCCTGCACCCACGGGTTGCTGCTGCGGCTCTGCCCCCCACAGGCCCTGCAGCGCCGGCACCCACCAATGCGGCTGGCAGGGCCTTTCCGGTGAACAGGGCCAGCTACAAGGCTAGCTCCCCGGCGGAAAGCTCTCCTGAGGACAGTGGCTACATGCGCATGTGGTGTGGCTCCAAGCTGCCTATGGAGAGCACCGACAGCAAACAGCTTCCCAACGGGGACTACCTCAACATGTCCCCCAGCGACGCGGGCACCGCGGGAACCCCACCCGACTTCTTCACCGCAGCCTTGCACGGCTCTGGAGAGATGCTCAGGAGCGTCCCTGGCTACTGCTACAGCTCCTTACCCCGCTCCTACAAGGCTCCCTACACCTGCAATGGGGACAACGACCAGTACGTGCTCATGAGCTCCCCCGTGGGGCGCATTCTGGAAGAGGAGAGGCTGGAGCCTCAGGCTAGCATGGGGACCACGCACCCAGCCAGCAGCGTGGTGGCCGGGGTGGGTGGGGGCAGCCACGCTCAGCCTCCTCACTCCGTAGTGCCTTCTGCAGGGAGGCAGAGTGGCAGCGGCAGTGGCCGCCCCGAGGGCTTCCTGAACCAGCGATGCCGGGCAGTGAGGCCCACGCGCCTGTCCCTGGAGGGGCTTCAGACCCTGCCCAGCATGCACGAGTGCCCCCTACCGCCCGAGCCCAAGAGCCCGGGCGAGTACATCAATATTGACTTTGGCGAGGCTGGAGCGCGCTTGTCGCCCCCGGCCCCTCCGATGATGCTGGCTTCGGCGGCCTCCTCGTCCTCGCTGCTGTCTGCCAGCAGCCCAGCCTCGTCCCTGGGCTCTGGCACCCCGGGCACGAGCAGTGACAGCCGGCAGCGCTCCCCGCTCTCTGACTACATGAACCTGGACTTCAATTCCCCCAAGTCACCCAAGGCTGAGACCCAGAGCGGGGACCCAGTGGGCTCCTTGGATGGCCTCTTGTCCCCTGAGGCCTCCTCCGGGTACCCGCCGCTGCCCCCGCGCCCTGCCGCCCCCTCCTCCAGTTCGCAGCTGCAGCCACCTCCGCCACCCCCTCCAGGGGAGCTGTACCGCCTGCCTCCTGCACCCACATCCCAGGGCCCCAGTGCTGCCTCCTCTTCGTCCTCGGAGACTGGGGACAATGGTGACTACACCGAGATGGCCTTTGGCGTGGCTGCCACCCCGCCGCAACCCATCGTGGCCCCCGCAAAGCCAGATGGTGCCCGCGTGACCAGCCCTACGTCCGGCATGAAGAGGCTGAGTCTCATGGATCACGTGTCGGGGGTCGAGGCCTTCCTGCAGGCTGGCCAGCCCCCAGACCCCCACCGGGGGGCCAAGGTCATCCGTGCAGACCCACAGGGGGGCCGCCGCCGGCACAGCTCGGAGACCTTCTCCTCAACCACCACTGTGACTCCCGTGTCGCCGTCCTTTGCTCACAACCCGAAGCGCCACAACTCGGCCTCCGTGGAAAATGTCTCTCTCAGGAAAAGCAGTGAAGGGAGTGGCAGCGGCGTCCTTGGTGGGGGTGACGAGCCCCCTGCGTCCCCTCGCCAGCCGCAGCCACCCCTCCCCCAGCAGGCCCGGCCATGGACACCAAGTCAGCCTGGGGGCCTGGTTGGCTGCCCCGGGGGCATTGGCTCTCCCATGCGCAGGGAGACCTCAGCTGGCTTCCAGAATGGTCTCAACTACATTGCCATCGATGTCAGGGATGAGCCGGGGCTATTGCCGTCTCCACAGCAGCACCCACACCTGCATCCGCAGCCAGGCGACAAGAGTGCCTGGGGCCGGACCCGTAGCCTCGGGGGTCTCATCGGCACTGTGGGGGCCAGCAGCACCGCGGGGGTGTGTGGGGGTCCAGGCCCTGGAGCGCTGCCCGCCAGCACCTATGCCAGCATTGACTTCTTGTCCCATCGCCTGAAGGAGGCCACCATTGTGAAAGGTGAGGCCCTTCACCTTGTGGCGGGTGAGAGGGAGGGTGGGAAAAGTGGGTGAGCGTTGGTGGGTTCACTCCTCTTCCCTCTTTTGGTACCTTGACCGAAATGCCCAAATACTGTCCCCGGCTTCTTGTTTTGTTTTACTTTAGGCTCCTGTGTCCTCCTCTTTCCCCAAAGACTTTGCCAAGAACAGTCAAAGCATCTTTGAGTTGAATGTGAAGCTTCTGATTCAGGGAACTACTATTTGTTGTTGTTGTTTTGGCCCCAAACGCTGCTTCTTTCCCACAGTCCTCTTCCCACCTATTAACACTGGACATGCTCTCCAGGTCCCCACCTGAAACCCATCTTCTTGATCTGAGAGTGGGAAAGTTCTGACTTCTCCCAGGCTTGTAACCTTCATTTTTCTCTTTGTTTTCCTGGAGCAGGGCCCCAGCTGATTCTTGCTGAGCCTCAAAGTTTATAAAAACAGGCTCGAAAGTCACTTAGGAAATGAGCATCCATTTTTGTGGCCGCTAAAGGGAACAGTTAACCATTTACAGTTTGCACATAAACTATAGGGGCTTTTCCATTAGAGACATTCCTTTTCTCCTAAGGGGCTGAAATAGTAATGCTGCTTAAACACAGCTTAAAAGCAGTGGTTCTCAAACCGGAGCATACCTGGGAGTCACCTGGAGAGGCTGCTGAAACCAGCATGGCTGGGCTGTGTAAAGTCCCAGGGATTCTGATGCAGTAGGTCTGGGGTGTGGCCCGGAATTCGCATTTCTAAGAAAGTCTCCAGGTTGTGCTGCTGCTGCTGTCCTTTAAGAACCCTGTCCCAGGTTAGACCCACCCGAGGAGGTATGAAAAATAACCTATGGGGCCTCACGCCAGACACTCAAGTAAAACATCCAGTGGGCAGAGTGGAGGCAGGAGCATTTTTCAGTTGCCCAGGTGATAATATGCAGCCAGGATTTAGAATCAGTGCTTTAGAGAAAACAAGTGAAGACAACATCATGGGGCTTTTCAAGAACAATCGGATAGGCTGGTACCCCGTATTGTTCTTCACATTCTCATCAAATATCCATGAGGAGAGAGAGACTGCTTGCTTTGCAGCTGGCGGTGCATTCTGACCGTCTCAAACTTTGAATGATGTGGGGGAGAGAGAGAAATAAAGAGGTGAGGGATGTTCAAGGGTTTCTTCTTTGATTGTGTAGTTGATTCTCTGCAGGGTTGCTAGTAACATAGAGGCACTGTGGGAACTGCAGAACACATAGTAGTGGATGCTGTTCTAAGGTCAACAGTCTGCAGGGGTTACAACAAGGTGATGAACAAGGTGGCTTGGGGATCCATATGCTATTTTCTTTTTCTTTTTTTTCTTAAACAGATCAGTTTAATGCTGTCTAAATGCAGCATGTGTTTGATAATATCCATGGGATTTAAAATTATAGCTGTAGGGTAAGTGCCCTGTTATTGTAATAGAACAGAGAAAAAGCTATTTACGTTTTTATTAAAACCATAGAATGAAAGATGAAAAGAGTCACAGAATTGTAAGGAATGTGGTGCTTCAGTATCTAATTAAATCAATTGGAAGTTGTCAGATGTTTCCCTTAAATGGTGACTCTCAGCTGAAGGTCATATTCCTTGGAGTTACAATAGGCACTACAGGTACTTCGGAAAAATTGCTAGTGTGTCATGGAGTTAAGGATTAGCTGCCTTTCAAGACATAAACCATATAAACACACCGTATAACTGGAATCAAGTGGTGGTGGGGGAGGTGTACACACTCATTTATTTGGTATGCCCAAATGGGTATATGCCACAGTGAACATGAAAGTACATTTTGCTGAAATCTGATTCTAATCAGAAAAACAGTCTGAGAACATAACACCTTTTACTGTTTTTGGTGGAGTAGGCGGTAAAAACCTGGACTGGATTCAGGAGGGCCCCAGGAGTGGGTTCTTGTAGTAATAGGAGGAGTGAGCTGGAGTGTGCATGCGACTGCAGGCCTAAAAGGAATCGAGGCCTTTTTGATAAAGTAGATACATTGAGAAACGTGATTCGTGTATGATATAATGCCCTTTTCAGACTAGGGAAAATTTTAAACGGCAAGAGATCAGTTTAGCTAGAGACCCTGTTTAGCTTGTTTTGTTTTAAGATTTCCCACCAGTATAAAATTCCTTTCGACCTATAGGATTCAGGATTCTGAAATCAAAACAGCAGTTTGTATGTTTCATGGTGGCTGAACAAAGATGAGAGATCGTTTTGGTTGCTGTTTTTCCAAAGTCTGTGTGGTAAACACCATTTTAAGAAGAAAAAGGGTCCTTTTTAAACAAAATTGATAATTGCAATTGATCCATTGTGCCAAAACCACATTTAAAAAAAAAAAAAAAGAATCACATGCCAAAATGGGTTTCGAGTAAACTCATTTGAACAAAGAGAACAGTAGAATAGGAAAGAGGAGGGTGTCATCTTAATTAATGTGCAGGCTAAACTGTGGTCTGTGAAGCCAGGCGAACGAACATTTAGAAACTCAGAATGAGCATCCACTTGTATTTAACTCATGTATTCCCGTAGACATTTGTTTGGGGTGCTCATAAATAAAAAGCTCACAGGAGATTAATAATTTAATCCTTGGAGAGAATAATTTCTAGAAGGAAGACGTGCAAAGCATTTCTTTGAAGATGAACTAGAAAAAGAACTTCCTGGGTTATTGCGTGCACTGCTCTTGACTCTCAGAAGTGGCATATGTTTGTTTCCACATCGAGCTCCTCGGGTTCTGCATGGAAAAACCGCACTGGTTATACTGAAGCAGAATCATCTGGGGGCCCTGGGTAGTGTTTGGTATTTGCATAAGTGGTGACCAAGACTAAGGTTCCAGCAATCTTTGATAGTTGTTTACAGTATAATTGGGAGTGGGGGTGAGGTTTCAATGCTCAAGCCAATTAAAAGTTAGTACACTTGAGATAGATGTACATAATGTAGACATATTAGTCCAGAGAAAATAAAAATTTAAGTCTAAAGTTTGCATCTCATTTGTAAGTAGGGGAGGTTATTTACCGTGTGTTTTATGTGTGTGTATGTAGAAAAATCCAACCAATCTGTTAGCCTGTAGTTGTTGGGGAAGTTGGAAGTATGTTACTGAATTTACTATGCTTTAAAACTACTTTTAAAAATTATCTCTTACATATTTTTGTATTTTGATTATAAATTGGTACATACCAAAAATAAGGTATTTTAATGTTGGTTTTTAGTGGGATTTTTATTCTAAAATGGTCGTTTTTTTTTCTATGTGTACAAGGCAGATTAGGTAAGAATTGCCACTGGAAGCATCTGTATTTAAATTATGTTTGAGTAAAAGGGTCTGTTTATTCATAGCCTATGGTAAAAGAATCGTGGAATAAGAGGAATGTTTCCACAGAAACAGTGCAGTCAGGATGTATGTTTAAAAGTATTGCCTGTTGAAGTCTTAAAGCAAAGAACTTGAACACTTTCAGGACGCCAGTGAGATTGCTTGACAAACAATACCCCTTATTTTTTCTGTTGTGCATGTTTTTCTGCTTTAGCTGGATAGCTTTGTCATAATAGGATAATAATGTGCCCTGCTTCTACCCTATTGGTAGTTGTCTAACGAAGATGCTAATGAAAACACAGAGGCTTTCGTGAATGAAAGTCACATGACTTGTTCTATTTCCTTTATTGAAAGAGAAACCTTTACAAAAATAGTACTTCGTAGAAGGAAGCATAGGTAGTATGTGGAACACTAAACCAGAAATCAGGAAACCAGGTTTCCAGTTGCTGATCTTAATTAGTCTTTGTGTGACCAGAGGGAAGCCATTTAATCCCTCTTTCTCACTTTCTCCGTCTGTAAAATGGGATCATTATAAGCCTCTCCCTTCAGTGTCACAGGGCCACTGGGAGGGCCAGGAGATAGTAAACATTAACAGTGGTTAAGCTCTTCTAAAGAAATGTGCTAACACATCTAATGATGCTATTGACACTTGTTACCTTGAACCTGTGAGAATATACAGGAAAGATCCTTTTATAAATGGGTGTTCTCTTAGAAAAAGACAAAAACTCATAGTTGTCTGAATGGAGCCAATCAATACCTATTTAAGAAATGTTTGCCTTTTCTGTTTGATTGCTAGTTCCATGTCAGTCTCCAGGAACCACTGTTTTTTCTCCTCTTTTTTTTTTTTTTTTAAACTTTTGTTTGTTTGTTTGTTTTCATAGATAATTATCAATTGTAAGGAAAGAGTTTCTTAAATTACATAATAAAATAACAATTAAGGAAAATAGTGCCCTAACCCTGAAACTATACTAAGACCATACTTTTGATGACCTTTTTTTATTTGTTTACATATTAATAGATATCGTCAAATGGTGTCAAGATGAAAATGTGTAATTAGAATATACATTTATTTAAATTGACAGTTTGGGTTCTTCATGCTGGCTGCAGTGAAAGGCAAACACAACTCTTAAACTTTCATTAGCTGAATCATCCATTGTTCAACCTCAGAGTTTCACTCTTTGGGGTTGATTTAATTAGAATGGTCACCCCTGCACTGTTTTAATTTGTTTGGTTGTCAAACATTAGGAAAAACTTGTAGTGTGTGGTTCTTCTGTAGTTCCACAGACCCACTCCCCTCCCCCCAAAGGAATTTTATTAGATAGTTAAGGTGTTATATCCTTTAAAACTATTAGTTTTTAAATGAACATCTTTCTGAAGAGGAGAACTTGCAGAAGTTTTAGTAACAGCTCAGGTATAATGGGTTTTCTGTTAAAATTCCCACTAATGCATTTTCTGTAGAAGCATAGTTCCAAGAGCTAGTTAACTTTTGGTATCAGATTTGGCAAGTGGAGAGGTTTCTTTGTTTTGTTTTTTTTGGGTAGCACAGAATCAAGTGTTCCCATTTCACCTTAGAAACTTAAGGGAAAATGTAACTTTACTCTTTTATCTGCACTGCCAAGTAGAGTGGGGGAAACACTCGGAGGGAAGCAAAGCGCTATGCCCTGCCCCAAAGGCAGC